GATCCATGAATGGAATGGTTAAAACTTGAAAGCCTCCCTTCACCTGCTTTTGCTCTCTATCCATTTCTCAGAGGAATTATTAACAGGTGTTGAAGGCACAACTGCTGCATGGCCCTGAACTTGGCATTGAGAATGCACAAAGAAAAGATCAAACATACTTTTTTTTTTTTTTAAAAAAAAAAGGGAAACCACTGGAGTTGAATTCATTGTGGTTGAGGACTAACCTGATAATACTTACTAGATTTTAAGCGAGAGTGAAATATAACTGTTACCAATCCCACCAACTGTTGTTTTTCAATCTATTTTTCATGTCCTACCACAGGGAGAACACTAGCAGAATGAGGAGGGATCAAGAAACTATTTTAATCAAACGTTAAGCACTGTTGAGAGAGGTATGGCTGGGGGTGCTGCAGTCAGAAAGAGATACAGAAACGCTTCTATAATAAGTAAGAGTATTTTCCCCTCCTTTTTTTCTTTACATCAGTGCTCTATCCCATCCTCCACATCATGTTTGTTAGGCTGAAGATTTTGAAAAGATAACATTTGCTTTCTCTCCATATCAAGATCTCAATCCCATCTGCCTTGACATTTTAGCTTTACGAGGGAGAATGCATTATGTAAAGTTTCCATTAGCCTGCAAAATATTAAATTAAGTGTTGAAAACATGAGTTGGTTTTGGTGAGTGAAGCGGAGAAGCCACTGAGATGATTTGTACTCGTCAAAATTAGATAAAGGTTTTTTTTTTTTTAAGTTAGAGAACTTAGCCTACCATTCTCCTTCCCTTCTCTTTACCTTTGTTCAGAAAATGAAACACAGTGAACAAAGGCCAAGTTCTTAATAACACAAGTGAAAGCATAACTATAATTTGTAGTTGGGAATACTGTGAGTAGCATATGTGGCCGTACATTCCTTTGGCAAGATGTTATTCACATTCTTCTTGAACATATAATTATGTATCATTGCTTAATAAGGAGAGAACTACTTTGTCAAACATTTCTCTTTACTGTTAAGCTTTCAAACTGCATATTGTAATAGAATGTTTTGGAAGCTATCAGAAGATTCAACTGCTGCATTTTTTTTCCCTGATGGGAGATAACATCTCTACAGCCTTAATTGTAGTCTAAAATAGGTAAAAGTGTAATATGCAATAGTGTATTTGTGCATAAGTAGTACAGGAATATAAATGAAATCTGTCTTGACATGCACTCATGATCACATTTTCCTAGCTTGTTTACAAAATGAAAGAATATCTGTCTCTGGTAGAAAATTCTATGTTTAAAGCAGTCTCCCACTATCCTTTGAAGTGTTAAATCCTCCTAGGTTTCAATTTTTTTTGGCACAAGAGTAGTGGATGTTTAAGAAGCCAACAACATTAGCTTGCACAGGAGCATTCCTGTCTTATTTTTGTTTCTAGGTCTGTTTCCTGTGTTGGGGGAAGGGGAATGAGAGCACAGCTGCTCCCGAAGTTCAAGATGAAGCTGCTTCTTTAGTGTGTTTTAAGCCTTGGTCACAGTTTCTTACTGGAAGTCTTTAAATGAGCTTTAGTCTGATCTTCAATTGCTCTTTTATAGGCATGAAATCTCCCTCCTTTTCCCCCCTCTTCCCTCACCCTCCATCCCAATCCCCAGCAACTAAACCCACTCACTAATAAAACTCCTGATTATCTGCAAAATAAATATCCAAGAGAACCCTCAGAAACGGAGCATTTTGACATACATGTTTCTGAGACCAAGTAGATAATTGGTTCAGCATCAGCTTGACAGTGTGATCGATCAATATTTGTTCTGAGATTATTTTTTTTCCCTGTTTTTTAAAGCATTGATGCTTGCCAGCACAAATGATTGGCTGCTTTGGATACCGAAGCTGATCCATTTGAACCTTTATTTCTCAGATAAGGTGAACATCACAGAGAAGGGGAGATGAATTTTCTGCCTGGTTAATTTATGGTACCTCCAGTAATTCAGGTGGAAAAGTAACAGCCTTTCTTAACATTTCCTTACACATATTTTAAACAGTCTTCTATCTCAATCTTGGCATACGTATTCCCCTATCAGAAACACTTCTAGTTTTTCATAGTTTTACAAAGAAGTTAAAGCCCCTCCTTCTTCTGTTTGTCCAGTTAACATTTTTATTGGCCTGTCTTGCAATCACATGTGTATAAGAGGAATAAACCAAACCTGCAGTGGCAAGAATATCAGTGTTGCAGTTATTTTCTTTCATGCACTGGTAGGACTTTCTGTTGAGGTACCTTTGCTTATATAGACTAAAATGTTTGGGTGAGAAGGAAAAGCACATATTGTTGGTTGTATTTGATTTTCCTACTTGAGAGCAGCTTGATGGTTGGTATAGGAAGGGTATGTTTTGTTTAAAATGTAGAATAGCATAGAATAGTGGGAAATAAAAATATTGTTGCCTCCCATAGGCATATAGCCTGGGGCAACAGGTACATAGATGGAAGTCCAGTTTTCAGTGTGGCTGTTTTGAAATCTGAAGGTAGTTTAATCTAAAAAGAGCTGACAAAGGAGTTAATGTTGGACTTTCACTGTTGATTTACAAAAGTCTTGGCATACCAGGAAGATAGTAGAAACCTGGATGAGCATTGGCATTGTAGACCACGTAACTGAGGTAGTTACAGCCTGGGCAGTGATCCAGGTAAAATGACGGACTAACTGGTGTAGAACTCGGTTAATAAAGGACAGAGGAGAATCACCGGATATCGCTAATGCTTGTAGGCATGAGTTCGTTTAAAAATAGGTCTTGTTACACTACTACCCTTGCCATGTTTTTGAGGTGCTTATACATTGGGCTGTTTGGACAAAGTAGTAGTGTGAAAATACACATTTAGACTTCTGTAAGGTCACTCTCTTGGTGCTATTTGGCATTTTCATGAAGAAACAAGAACGCTGCATGGTGAGAAGGACACACAGTAGCTGAATCAGGTGGTAGAGTCCTCATCACTTCAGGTATTTAAAAGAAGGATAGATGAGGTGCTTAGGGACATGGTTTAGGGGTGGGATGGCAGGGTTAGGTTAAAGGTTGGACTCGATGATCTTAAAGGTCTTTTCCAACCAAAGTGATTCTATGATTCTATAAAGGAAAATGATTACAGCTACGTTTGAGGTCCTTGAGTATCTATCTGCGTGCATCAGGGGGTTGCCAGTCCTCCACACTTGAACTCTTTTTTGCGTGCATCAGTGGGTTGCCAGTCCTCCACACTTGAACTCTTTTTTTTTTATCTGTGCCCTTGTAAAAATAATCACTTAAAAAGTTTTTAGATGATTCAAAGTTTGAGAAAATAATAATTAATGGAGCAAATTGCTGAGTGACTGAACTTGTCAAACTAGGCAAAACAAGCTCGTTGCTTTAATACAGCAAACATAACATTGTGCACCAAGAGACAAAGACTTAGGATTTCTTTTGGAGTGATATAGACTCCATCCTGTGTAAAACATCTGAAGCCAAAGGGCTGACGTGATCTGTGAGTACATAAACTAGAAAGTTTGGGAATGGGAAGGAAGATGATACTGTGTCTGGCACTGAGAGGACTAAGGCTGAATTGTTTTCTCTAGGTCTAGTATCTATAAGTAAAGAAGAAATAGATGAAGGTTCAAAGAAGAGTCACAAGAATGATTAAAGGGTGGAAACAAGCCTTAAGTAAAAAGGTTCTTTGAGTTTAAGGTATTGAGCTTAACAAAGAGCTAAAAGGTATTCTCTTTGAGCCTTTATAATGTATAAATCTCTGAACTTCTGGTGTTTAATTCTAACTGGGAGAATAATGGAGCCCCTCTATTCTGATTCCAGTTCTGTCATGTCTTGACAGTTTTTAAAGCTTCACAAACTTTGTATATAATAAGGGCTTAAGAGTACTCAGTGAAGTAGTTAAATATAATTACCTGATTTTATAGATGGAAAACCTGGGATAAAGTCACATGCTTTAGTTATGCCTCTGGATTTTTTTATGGAGTACATTTACAGAAATATCAGAGTAGGGGTATTTTCTAATTGTGTTGTCCATTGAAATGGTTCTATGAACTTTTCAAATTCTGAGTAATGAGGTTGGTTTGTTTTTGGTTTTTTTTTTAAGATAATTTAATTTGTTATATGAGCTCTGATCTTGAGGAATTGTATTAGTGCCTGCAATCCTAAAACTGAAATTCAGTGGAAACTTAAGATGAAAGTGAAAGCTAGGGGGGTTGATAATTATCTGATAACTGCAAAAAGTGAACAGTAGCATGCATAATGAAAAATATATTAAAATACTTTATTTAATAATCCAATGACATACATACGTACCCATATATGGATTACTTGTAAAAAATAAAACAGGTGAGACTGGTATGGACTACAGTGGATTATAGAGAAAGACTGTGAAGTCAAGAAATACTTGATAGAGTGAAACATAGTGGAAATATACTCAAGGAGGAAGAAGTAGTTATGCTCTTTTAAAAATGCGTCCTCTTATTTATAATGGAATCAGTATATCACCAAGTATATATATAATGTTTTTTCTGTGGAAATGAAAATACTTTTCTTTTCTGTATTAAGAAGTGCCATATGCTGATGTTGGAGAAAAGTTTTATTGCTGTTTCTTACCATTAAAATATATATTAAAGAAGAAGTAATACAACACCTAAATTATTACTGTAGATTTTGCATAAATGTTCATTATGCACTGTCTTTTCCTATATAAGTAGCAGGAGGCAAATAATGAACTAAATAATTAATGCAGTACACAATATAGTGTTTTCAAGCAAAGTGCTCATGGTTACATAAAGCAGGAAAAATAAGTGAAACCCAAAAATGGAAGGGGGAGGATGGGACTGTAACCAAAGGAACAAGGCATGGAAATAAGATCTGAAAGTTCATATGTAAGCAATTTTCATATTAATGCATAAATATATATATATAAACAGAGCTTGACTAATCCTCCTCAATTTGAATTTTCTCAAGGATATCAGAGTACTTGCTATCCTATGTCAAATGAATTATTTTTCAGGTATAAACTTGTCAGCAGATGTTCCAAGGATGCAGTCTGCTTCCACCCTCATGATATGATGGGGTGTGGTGCTTCAAAACTTGGCTACTCTATACCTGGGAAGAGTGAATCAACTTTAATTAGGTCAGTCTTTTAATGTCAAAACCCTCAAGCCTTCCACTGTCCCAGTAGATGTATGACAAGAAATTAAACCCACTAATCCCAATGCTGTGTGCGTATATGTGAACTCTTGGAACTCCAGTGTTGCGAGAGCTGTAAAACCAGAACTGTTTGTGGTACCAACAAGCAAATAACACCAGGTCCCGCCTTCAGCCTCTCCTGAACTCTTAACAACCGAGCAAAAAAGTTCCAAGCAAATTACAAATGGTAATAGTCTTTCAAATTATAAGAATACTGAGATCACATGTTTTTATAAAAGTGTTTGGCAGATGATCCAATTCAGTGCTGAAGTTTGTGCGTTCAGCCCTGCAGCCTGACGTAGAAGTTGTGGCTGATGAAACCTGAACTTACTTTGCTACCCTGTCAGAATTCTGTCATTTTTCAGAGCCTTTCTAACTCATTCCAAGTGAAACAAGGGTCCCTTTTTCTTTTCTAGCCGTTGTTACTTTAAAAAAACAAACCCAGAATATGAACTGTACAGTAATGTTGTCTGATGTGATCAGGGGAAATTTTCTCACGCATGTATAGATAGGTGGTGGATGATTGGGTGTGTAGAAGTTCTTTAGGACTTGACTGAAGTTTGCTCTAAATGTGAATGTTGTGCACTTGCCACAACAGTCAGTGTTCATTAGTATTACAGGTAATTGCACAAGTCTGTTCTAAAATGCTATATTCAGTTGCATAATACTTCTGCATTAATATGGCTTTATTTTTTTCCACTCATGAGTTGTTGTTTTTTTTCACACCTGAACAATATAAGTGTAAACCATCAGATTTTTAAATTGATACAGAGTGATATCAGGGAGGTTCCACAGAGCCTGTATCATTATTTGAGGGGAAGGGGGGCAGAAAAATCCAGAAAGGAATCTGTTTCTTCTCCCTCTTTTTAATGTTCTCAGACCACAGCAGAGTTTCGGATGTAAAGAATTCATTTGATGCTTGTATGTATTTTGAGACAAAACTTCTGACATGCAGATACATTTTAATGTTGACAGTTAGGCGTCTATCCTGCTTCTGTTTAGCACTAACCTGTCGCTTTCAGTCTGCATCCTCCTGTGAGATGTGTGCCGGGGGGAAGGGAGGGTGACGTACCTTCTCAACTCTCCTGTGATTTATAGCAGTATATGAAGAAAATGGCAGGACCCAATCATACTGCATCGTATATAATTGTTGTCGTCTTTCCTCTTGGTATACTTTCTCTTCCATTTTCCCTCTTGGTGTTTTTTCGGTCAAAATGTAGTTGTTACTCTAATTTTGCCCCTGTCAGCTGGCTATCCTCATAGATGAAATGAATCCTATTTTTAATGGCGTTATTTTCTTTAAAACCTCTATCCTAAATCTCAAAGTGCTTGGAGATTAAATCATGACTTATTATACAGAATGTTATCCTGTGACTTCCTTCCCATCCTTACTTTTTTTGAGGAGCAGAGATAGGGCCAGGGACAGTAATGACCTCCCCTCAGCCTTCATTTTAAAATTCAAGTGGTTCTTTAAACCAAATTCAGTCAGATCCCAACCACAGGGAATGGTAACATTTTGGGGCTTTTGGTTTTTTGTTGTTTTTTGTTTAATTCTATTTTATTTTTATGACTTGAAATGTAAAGCTGGTATTTTAAAATTCAACACTAAAAATGAAATAACCAAAATGCTCCATTTTAATTCAAGTTATCAGTCTCAGTTACTGTGTTGATTACTTTGCTTGGACTATTTCTACAAAATTAAGCATGTATGACATCAAGTTATTAAAAATACAGTATGCTTTGTAATATATATATTTCAACTTAATTTGCATTATACCTCTTTGTAATTATTTTTGCATTTCTTCCATCAAATTTCTGCAGGATATGCTCCAAAAAACATTTATTTTCCTATATACTGATGGAAAATGTTCTTCTGTCAAAATTTTTAACCAGATGTACTTACAGTTGTTTTACCAGCAAAATGATTGATTTTTCATTTTATAGGTGTTGAATAACTACTTTGCATTTATACCAGAAATAATAACTAAAAAAAAAAATATTCCTAGCAGCAAAAGGTACCACACACCATCTTTCTTTATACCTTTTCCTAAAACCTATCTGCTTCCATTATGAACTGAGGTACCATGGAGCCTCTTTGGTATGTTTATGAGTGCTGTAGATAAGCGTTCACAAGGAAATAAAGCTGTCCTGCGATTTCCATGTGTCCCGCATGTTAAAATGCATTACAGAGAAAAATAGATTGTTTTGTATTGTATGTGTAGCTTTCGCACAGCTGTGGATGTTATTGCTTTAGGCAGCACTTCAAAAAAATCTGACTTCTAATTTTGTTTGTCTAGTCTCATGCACGCTATTATCTGGGCCCAGTGGATTGAACAGTGAACGGTATTAATTCTGGAAGTGGCTTTAGGCAATCCATCCCTGCTGGTTGTATAGGTGCAGTTCAGTTATCAGGAATCTCTAGGAAAATTATTCCAGCTTGTTCACAGGTTCCTCAGCCCCTTCTAGCAGGTGGTCCTGTTAAAGCGTAGAGAGCTAATACAACAAGGGAACTTACTAAGAAATAACATAGTGTGGCAATGGCAAAGCATCATAAACTTCTGCTTGCTGAGGTTTTGTCTGTATCCTTAGTTCAAAATGAAGTCCTCAAACGTATCCCTACTCCAGAATACCTCCGTGATGTACAATTAAATATTAAGTCATATCCTGTAATGCATTGCCTGCTTCTGTAGAAAGTCATTTGACTTAGTATCACAAAAATCTATGTGATGATAGCAATGTGTAAAATTTCCATAGTTATGACATGCAAGGCTCATTTTTAAATTTGAAAGTACTATTGTGTAAGCATTATGTAACACAGGCCATCAGAGCCTGGCTATTATAGAAGCCTAAATCTTCCCATAGTCTAGATCCATTCATCCTAAAATGGAGAATAACATGCTGTACGTGCATCCTTGCACAGTAATAGTAGTAGGGGCTGAACCAAAGGACTGCACTTTCAGCACTACGGTGTCCTCTGAGTGCTGAAGAGAAGTGTCACTGGCAGAACAGGTTTAAGTGCTCGTGGAAAATTTGATCTTTCCGATCTTTCGATTTACCTGTAAAAATGCTACTGTATGTAGTTGTGTGCAGCTATCACAAATGGGTTTTTGAATGAAGATGGACTACCACACCAAAAAAGAAGTATGCTTATATCAAGTTGTTTACAGTCTGTGAATGCAGAAATGATTTGAGGAAAATGCAAAGCACACTAAAACATCGTGCATGGAAATCAGTCTTACCCTCTTGGCGAATTATCTGGTGTTGCTTCTTTGCAGAAGCTGGCAGTATCGCCATGATACAAGATGCTCCAGGCTTCCCGTGAATTTCATCCAGCCCTACAGATGGAGCGAAAAGGGTGAAGGTGCCTCTCTGATTTAGCTGTTGTGTCCCGTTTGCTTACTAACTAGAGGGAGAACAGCCAGTCTAAGCAACTTGGGAAAATGGAGTTCTTACTCTTTCTCTCTCATGAAAAACAAGTTTCTTCATTTCTGCTCCGTTCTTTTCTCCCCATCCAATCCTTACCTCCTCAGGCCTGATTGCAGGCATAGGAGTGTAGATGAACAAGCCTTGGACCTGTGTTACGCCTCGCCTCCATCTTCCACATCTAGAAAGGACGAGACGTTGACCTTACTTCATCTGTCCTCAATCTGAAAAAAAGGGGCTTGGGTAGAATTTGCCATAGCAGGAGGAACAGAAATGGTTTGAGAGGCAAGAGATGCATGTGGGTGCAGTTAGCTGCTGATCTGGGCTACAGGCAAATGTAAGGTTGGCAAAACAGCTACCCAGTGAGAAATTTGGGGAATAACGGGGAGCTCTGCTGCGTAGCCAGAGAATACAGCTGCAGCAGGAAGCAAGGTTACTGCACTCTGTAAAATGGCAGCCCTGCAACTGCTGTGCCTGTTAGAGATGCACAGGAAGAGTTCAAAAATCAAAGAGGGTTAGAAGAAAACCAAAGTATATTCTTACAAAAAAGAGGTCAATTTTTAAGTCAAATGTTTCTGTTTTTTTGATAGAGTTAGCACTACAGGGGAGAGACTTGTGCATATGCTTAATGGTAAGCATCGTTCAGTGTTTTAACAAACATGATTTTTTCACATGCGGTAGGTTTGTTCAGTGCTGATGAGAATTGCATTTTGCTTTGGTTAAGATAGAAAAGATACCTCATCTGCTTAGGTAACATCATGCTGTTGCGATCTGCTCCTTGTACCTTTAGAATGATCAGTCAGGTACTTTTTAAATTAAGATAAGTATGCTTCACAGTTACAGTGGGGTTTTCAGTTGTAGACAAATCAAGATAGAAACAGATATGACTTACAAAAACTCTGGGAAAAAAAACAGCTAATGAAGAGAAGCCTTTCAGAAGCAGGATACTCAGAACTTTTATTGAAAATGTTATAAACATTTTCTGAAATTAGCATTCTGTAACAATGCTACCTAAAATTTCTAGGCAGAAAATCTGGATTTGTGTTGAATTTTTCAGCCAAATACATCTGAATTCGTACAAGCTGCTGAAATTTATAAAATCTGTCAGTCTGATAGAAGCCCCTTGTGTATCTTACCCGTTGGACCAAAACTAAGGTAATTTGATAAAATGAATCTCTTGTTTCTGGTCCAACCTGATCTTACAAAATTTTGAAGCCCCCCAGTTTCTCTCAGTCAGTACTTTGTTATGAAAGATAAATAAAATACCATTTTGCAAGAGACCATGTATGTGAAACTCAACGTAAAAAGGAAATACTTAGCGTCTCTACAATGACAGTGAAAACTTGTATAATGATTTATATATATGAAGGATTTTAACAGCAGTGACAATGCAGCAATGGTATTATCTTAATACATGTCAAGATAATGCTCACAATTAAACCACTTAAAAATATTTGTATGAGAGTAAGTTTTGCAACTGCTAGTGCTATTCTGTAGTCTTAACAGTTATGCAAATACACG